CGTGAACAGCATTCTGAAGATTTACGAGTACTATATTTATGACCTCAACGTCGTCTGCCATATTTCGTTTTACCACCTCAACAAACAGAAGCTCAAATCACTTTAATTAATCACACATGCATGCGCATACGAAATTGCATTTAGTTTAACAACAGTGCACCCTTTCAAAATTTGAATTTGAAAAGGTGGACTTTTTTCTATACAATCTCTACGTACTCATGCAGCAAATTGCTTCATACGAATGGAAATATTTACACAGCTAATCACAAAGAATTTTAACGCTAAGATAGCTCAACTAACGAAACGAATATGCTAATTAATTTGTCTCAGCCAATAGAAACCGTTGAGTTGAACGAATGTGGACGGTACAGTCGTTCAGTTAATGAGGCTATTCGTTCGTTCTCGTGCTTCGGTGGACGTTAACTACTAAATGACCCGAATCGAGCGGCGCCAAAGGGAATTTTACTAAACGACCCTCATCGGGCGGGACAATTATAATAGCTAATTCGCCTCTTTTTATGCTATTACTTTGTAATATCATGATTGCGGGTATTCCCTTCTGTCTCGCAGGGCCATTAAAAACCAATACACCAAATCAATATGAATTTTGCAGATATTTAAGGCGAGGTTTATCAACGACGTGTTCAGTTTTAGGAGAATGGCAGAAGGGAAACGTTTTAAGACATTTTGTACGGATGCAGATGCTAATACTTGGAAAAAAGAAGCCGTTCCAAAGAATACCAGGATGTATACGTCCTGGGGTGTTAATGTTTATGTCGATTGGGCTAGGTCTCGAAACAAAAATTCAAAGGTTTTCGAACCAGAAAACTCGAAATATCCGTTTGCTTCTGATGACCTTTCAAGTTTAAGTGTAGAATAGATTAATTACTGGTAGTCTAAGTTTTGTGTGGATGTAAGGCAACGAAATGGTGAGGAATACAGACATGAAGTTCTCTACTCCTTATTCTGTGCTATAATTAAACCGTGTTTTTCGTGAGTCCCAAGCTAGGGCTTGTGCTGTTCAAGTCACCTGAACTGAAACCACTTCAAAACGTATTGGACGGTCGTTTGATATATTTACAGTCAAAGCAAGATCCTTTTCGAAAGAAAGCTAGTGCAGTTAGTGACAACGACGAAGAAAAGCTTTGGCTGTCGGGTGCTTTGGGGACTCATTCTCCTCGAGTTCTGCTTGACACGTTAGTGTTTATGGTCGGGAAAATTTTCGCTTTGAGGGGAGGAGAGGAGCACAGAAGCTTGTGTCGCGACAGTTTTGAGTTCTGTAGGATGGCCACACTGTCGTCAATTATAGAGAGAAGACATCGAAGGTTAACCAGGGTGGGTTAAAGCGAAGAAAAGTCAGTACGAAAGCAGTAACCCTTGTAGAATCCGACATATTTATAACCTATTTTATACCTATTTTTTCTCTATTTAGCCCTATTTTTCTCTATTTAGCCCTATTCCGTATTTTTTCAAAAATATGTCTATTTTATTACTATTTATCAAATTTCATAAAATAGGATATGACTATTTACGCTTTATTTAAAATATATGTTATTTATATTTTTCAAAAAAATAGCTTTTAAATAGGTATTCAAATTCTATTTGAAAGAGTATTTGACGGAATCTCTCTATAAAATAGCTATTAAATAGCTATTTAATTCCTATTGATGACAAACGAGTCAGTTAAAATAGTTTTAAATAACTATTTTTAAACTATTTTTGCTTATCTTTTTGGAGCCATTCTTAACACATTTATTAAATAGAAAAATAAATA